TGTAATTTTAAGTCCCCATTATTTTTGTAATGGTTTATTATTCAATTATGTACTTAACCGCCTTTTTACTAACATAACTGACCTATGATTCAAAAAATATTTTGTAGGTAAAATTGATCTTGGGAACCCTCAGTAAAGAAAAATTCTCTTAACTTCCCTTTAAAGTAGTGTAAACAATTATGTAAAAATATTTTGTAGGCAAAATTGATCTTGGGAACCCTCATTAAAGTAAAATTCTCTTAACTTCCCTTTAAAGTAGTGGAAACAATTATTACCTTATCATTAAAGTTTTTTTCTCCAAAAACTTGGAGACAGAAAAGCTGCCTATCAAAATAAAGAGTAATATAAAGAAGAAGTACATAAAATTATAAATGTGTTTGTAATGATGTTTCATTGTCAAGCAAGGTTTCTCTACTATTTGTCCTGTAGGGCGGAAAGAAGTTCTTTTGTTTGCTAACCAACTGTAATGCCCATAGTTAAAATCAATATCTTTACTTCAATGCTTTTCAATTAAAATAATTAATAAACATTTTTAACCCTGGTTAAATTAGTGTTGTAAACAATTATTTTCGTTTCTGTGGTCATTTTTTGTGGAGGTTAGGCCTTGATTGTTAGGAATAGTGGCCGACAGTTTGAATAGCTCATTTCTCTTATCCTTTTAGTGGCTGACAGTTTGAATAGCTCATTTAGCTCATTTCTCTTATCCTATTAGTGGCTGACAGTTTGTTTATCTCATTTCTCTTATCCTTTTAGTGGCTGACAGTTTGTTTAGCTCATTTCTCTTATCCTTTTAGTGGCTGACACTTTGTTTAGCTCATTTCTCTTATCCTTTAAGTGGCTGACAGTTTGTTTCGTTCATTTCTCGTATCCTTTTAGTGGCTGACAGTTTGTTTAGCTCATTTCTCTAATCCTTTTAGTGGCTGACAGTTTTTTTAGCTCATTTCTCTTATCCTTTTAGTGGCTGACAGTTTGTTTAGCTCATTTCTCTTATCCTTTTAGTGGCTGACAGTTTGTTTAGCTCATTTCTCTTATCCTTTTAGTGGCTGACAGTTTGTTTAGCTCATTTCTCTTATCCTTTTAGTGGCTGACAGTTGGTTTAGCTCATTTCTCTTATCCTTTTAAGGAGCTGACATAAATACACTTGGAAGCTGTAACAAGACTGATGGGGCTAGAACGCCTGTCACATTTTCATTGAAACTCAGTTTCATTGAAATATACTTTAATAATAATGAGAATAAAAATAATTTGTGTAGTATTGTATACGCCCCAATTAATTATATTGAATTTAACTTATATACCCGTTAAAAAGTTTGGTCCCTTGACAATGTATAATATTCAGGATATAAAGCCAAGGGGTACTCCGCTACATTGGTCCCTGGACAATATATAATATTCAGGATATCCTTTTAGTGGCTGACAGTTTTTTTAGCTCATTTCTCTTATCCTTTTAGGGGCTGACAGTTGGTTTAGCTCATTTCTCTTATCCTTTTAGTGGCTGACAGTTTGTTTAGCTCATTTCTCTTATCCTATTAGTGGCTGACAGTTTTAGCTCATTTCTCTTATCCTTTTAGTGGCTGACAGTTGGTTTAGCTCATTTCTCTTATCCTTTTAAGGAGCTGACATAAATACACTTGGAAGCTGTAACAAGACTGATGGGGCTAGAACGCCTGTCACAACGTCCTTCAGGAAAAAAGATATAACTCAGATTTTTATTTGAATTTGATCAATTGGCATTCCATCAATTAGTAAAAATGTTTTGTTTATGAAATCTTAAAAATGTTTTTGCAAATGGCAGCCAATATCTGATATGTAGAGAAACTGTTAAATTGTACCCAAATCAACTTTATACTAAGGTTAGTTAAATTGACATTTAACATGATTTCAGGGATCCTTTATTGATAAAGTGGAATGAAGTACTCTTAGAATCTTTTTTCTGATCAAGCATGATTTAGATATCCAAGTTTATGTCAAGTATGACTTAGATATCCAAGTTTTTGTCAATTATGACTTAGATATCCAAGTTTTTGTGAAGTTACCTTAGATATCCAAGTTTTTGTCAAATATGACTTAGATATCCAAGTTTTTGTGAAGTTACCTTAGATATCCAAGTTTTTGTCAATTATGACTTAGATATCCAAGTTTTTGTCAAATATGACTTAGATATCCAAGTTTTTGTGTAGTTACCTTAGATATTCAAGTTTTGTTTCAAAAACTGATCATTTTTATTTGGGGTTTCTCTATATTTGCACATTTCTTGCATCAGAAACAATTGAAAAATTAAAAGATTTGAATGCTTTTCAATATAATAAGAATTTTGATTTTTTAATCTATACTTAATGTTTCAGTAAACTGTATTACAGAAAAAATCTAAATATTCTTGTGTTTTCAAATAATTGATTAAAATCCTTTAAAGGTGTTGAATTTTTAAGAATTTAGGAAACTATGGGTTGGTAAATTTGTAAAATTTGAATGTAATGAAATTTTAAAGTTTCTATTTTCAAGAATTTTCTGGGTTTAGGAGTTATAAGTCTGTTGTCAACATTATGAATTATTAAAGCGCGTTTTAATATATTTTATTGACATTTAATGCTTCAATGTATGATTTATCAAAAACAAGTATTATAAGATTACTGAGTGGGAAGAAATATTCCACCAGGGACTTTTAATTATGTTTGTTTAACTATATCTCACAATTATAGTTTTTTTCAGGTCATTATTAACAAACTTTGCTAGAAAAATCGATTAGAAGAAAAATTATAATTATGAATTAGAAATTCCTGAAAATACAGATGGGCCCTGGAAACCTAAAATATTACATAATGCTCATTATATTTTTCATTGAAACTCAGTTTCATTGAAATATACTTTAATAATAATAAGAATAAAAATAATTTGTGTAGTATTGTATACGCCCCAATTAATTATATTGAACTTAACTTATATACCCGTTAAAAAGTTTGGTCCCTGGACAATGGATAATATTCAGGATATAAAGCCAAGGGGTACTCCGCTACATCGGTCCCTGGACTAAATATAATATTCGGGATATAAAGCTAGTGGATACTCCTCTACATTGGTCCCTGGACTATATATGATATTCAGGATATAAAGCTAGGAGGTACTCCTTTACATTGGTTCCTGGGCAATATATAATATTCAGGATATAGGGCCAGGGGGTACTCCTCTACATTGGTCCCTTGACAATATATAATATTAAGGATATAAAGCTAGGAGGTACTCCTTTACATTGGTCCCTGGACAATATATAATATTCAGGATATAAAGCTAATGGCTACTCCTCTGCATTGGTCCCTGGACAATATATAACATATTTGATATAAAGCTAGGAGGTACTCCTCTACATTGGGCCCTGGACAATATATAATATTCAGGATATAAAGCAAGGGGTACTCCTCTACATTGGTCCCTGGACAATATATAATATTCAGGATATAAAGCAAGGGGTACTCCTCTACATTGGTCCCTGGACAAAATATAAGATTCAGAAAATAAAGCTAGGGGGCACTCCTAGTGGTCCCTGAACAATATATAAAATTCAGGATATAAAGCTAGGGGGTACTATCGACTATATTGGTCCCTGGACAATATATAATATTCAGGATATAAAGCAGGGGGTACTCCTCTACTTTGGTCCCTGGACAAAATATAATATTCAGAAAGTAAAGCTAGGTGGTACTCCTAGTGATCCCTGAACAATATATAATATTCAGGATATAAAGCTAGGAGGTACTCCTCTACATTGGTTCCTGGACAATATATAATATTCAGGATATAAAGCTAAGGGCTACTCCTCTACATTGGTCCCTGGACAATATATAATATTCAGGATATAAAGCTAGGGGGTACTCCTCTACATTGGTCCCTGGACAAGCCTATTCTTGAAGCACTTATTGAATCTGGATGTGATTTTACCGCAAAGGAAATCTCAATTCTCCCATTTAAAAATTCGAAGACCGAAAATAATTTTTCAAAATGTTGATTTTTTTCTCCCAGTCAATGAGTTTCAGAGATAAAGCATAATTTTGCTTATTTTTCTTAGCAATTTGTCTAAAAATAAAAAACAGTTTAAATTTATTAATAATAAGCAGAAGCTGTATCCTCAATTACTTATAAAAATTATGCATTCTCAGTCCGACCTTTTTGTATTTTCTTTTCTAGATCCGATTTAGGGATTAACATCATTAATTGTCATAGATTTTCTTTTTTAAACCTTAACTAATTTGAATTGTGGTCTGTTAAAGGATTTCAACGGTAGCACTGCCTTGCATACCATGGTTAAACATAAACGTTTACCATGTGTTGTGTCTTTACTTGCTCATGGATCAAGTGTAGAGGTAAGTTTTACAAGAAACTAAGGTATATGTAAATTCAACTAATTGTAAAAGTTTTTTGTAGGTGTTGGGACATTCCTTTTTATTTTATTTATTTTCTTTCATCTTTTTTATTATTATTGTTAATTGTTTATTTTTAACTTTGAAATTACCTAAAGCAATAGACTATAAATCAGGGTATATGTAAATTTAACAAATTGTAAAAGTTTTTTAGGTGTTGAGACATTTCAAAGATAGGTTATTTTATTTTATTTATATTATTTTATAGATATTTTATCTTTTTATTATTATTGACAATTATTTATTTTTTACTTTGAAATTACCTAAAGCAATAGATTATAAATCAGGGTATATGTAAATTTAACAAATTGTAAAGTTTTTTAGGTGTTGGAGCATTTCGAAGATAAGACATTTTATTTAATTTTTTTTTATTTTATAGATATTTCATCTTTTTGATTATTGGCTATTTTTAACTTTGAGATTACCTAAACAATATTAGATATAATTCAGGAGACAGATGGAGATGGAAACACACCGCTCCATCTTGCTGCCCAGAGCGGTCATATTCCCACCATTCAGGTTAGTTCAAAATCCTAACAGTAGGTGTCTCTGGTGAGTGAAACAAAAATGTATTCAGGCTGTTCTGATATTTGAGGCAAACTACAATTCTGTCAACAAAAGTGGAGAAACGGCCTGGGATATCATTCTTAAACAACATCAATCAAAAATCTACAACAACATGGATAAGGACAGCCATTTTAATTTTTAAGGATTGTATTTTAGTTGATCACCTTCATTTGATGATTTTTTCACGTTTTACCTAACCATTGATGAATCAACCTGGCAAAACAGGAGCGGAATCTGATGCTGTATACCTTGTACAGGGTGGGTGCAAGGGGACCAGCAGACTTGGATATGGGATCGAAGGTGAGTAAAATCAGAAAAATTTAATATTTAATGGGACTGTAAGTGTAATTTTAAGTGACTCTCAAGTCTCCATGCTAAGAGGGTCATGCTCAATTTACAACGGTACCATTTAGACATCTTTCAGTTCATTGCATACAGAGAATACTGTGTGTAAATCTAACGGAAACCACTTGAATTACTTTAAAACCAGGTGTAAGCTGCTTACAGTGTGAACTCAATACACCTGAAAACAAAGTGTTAAATCTGTTGAAACGTTTCTGTAATTAATGAGATAAGTCCGCCAACCTTGAGCAGTCAAAGGTTGAACTATAATAGATGTAAATAGCCTCAAAATTAGGGTAATATGTCATTTTTTCCTTGTCTCTGTGCACCACGCATAAAAACATCAAAATGACACTTAATAAAAAAAAATCCGGACCACATCTATTTTCTGGGCGTCTATGCGGATTCCATGTGCAAAGATTCAACTCTCAAAAAGTTTCCAATACACGGTTTAAAGAGTATTTTCTGTTTTCAATCGGACACGCTATTTTACAAATGGAGGTTCACTTGAAATTACGTCTACAGTCCCTTTAACCAGTGCTGCAGATTCATTTTGATCTGCAATGTACGCAGAAAAAGCTGATTTACGTGATTGATTCTGGTAAAATAATATGAACGCGACGGGAAAAATATCCAAGTTCCAAAAATTCATTAAATTGAAAATTCATTAAATTTAAAAATAATTAAATTGAAAATTAATTAAATTGAAAATTAATTAAATTGAAAATTCATTAAATTGAAAATTAATTAAATTGAAAATTCGTTAACTTAAAAATTCATTGAAAAATTCACACAGTTTGTCTGTAATCCTTATCCTTAACAAATTGCTGTTTAAAAACACTGACTCAACAAAAAGAAAACCTGTTAACATCAAAAAATAATTCATGTTTTTTTGTGAAAAAGATTTATAATATATTTTCTAGGAATTTGACTGGAAACCAACAGTGACTGAAAAGAATATTATCTATAAGCGAGGCCGCCATCTACTAGACGAATTCTTGGATCAAAGCGGGTTAAATGTAAAGGTGGTTTTTTTAATTATGTTTAACACTTCCGTTGTGTACTCAGTTTTTAGGGCGCTTCCCGCCAGTTCTCAATTAACAGTATTTCTATTATAATTGTTGACTTTCAAGACGTCATTTTTTTCATCGTCCTGTTTAAATTGATGGATTTTTCATCGTCCTGTTTAAATTGATGGATTTTTCAAGCATAAGAAAAAAATTCAAGAACAATTTTTTTAATTTCGACTGCAACCCGACAGTCCCTGGGGATATGTGAGTAGGAATAAAAGTAAAACATTGGCCCGACCAGTTTAGCTGCTTTGACGTTTATAAGATACAAACAAACAAACAGACAATAAAGTCAAATATGAATATAGATAGCACAAAGGTTAGACTGAAAAAATTCTTTATTAGTATTTTAACCTTTGTTGATTTTGTTAACCCCTTAAATTATTGGAAACAGAGGGACCGAATTTAATGAACTGAAACAGTCCACCGCAGGTTTAAATTTGAAACACCGATTCAAATTTGAACCGACAGTATGAAGTTCAGCGACGTAGTTCAAATTCAGCAAATTTATTCCCAGGTTACTTTTCATTTTCTGATTTTTTTGATCAGGCTGGTCGGAATGGTGGATTACGAATACTATCCCTGGATGGAGGAGGTATCAGGGGTCTTGTACTCATCAAGATTCTAACTGCTCTAGTTCAACACAGCAAGGAACCAGTTTATACAAATATCTTATTGATTAACAAGATTGGTAACCCAGCTTTGCCTACAAGTTTTCCCTTCTGAAGTTGATCCAATTCACTTAGTTCCCCACTCAAAATTTGAGGCAAATCGGTGTAGGGGTTCATGAGTTAATAATATGATCTGACATAGAAACAAAGTTATACATAAACATACTATGTTCTCTATATATATTACTAGCTGAAGTGCCCGGTGTCGCCCGTGGAATTTAAAAACACTTAAAAACTGAATTTTTAAAAAAATCGGATTTTTAAATCTTATTACCCCGCCAATTCAGCCAATTTTGTCTAGCCGTTTGGCCAGCTATAGCCAAAATATATATAAGAGCGGAGAGCTTTATTATATAGATATACATTTATATAAAAACCATGATAATAAGTTTTATGATTTTATTATTGTTTTTAATACAAAGTCCCCTTTACCATGTTAGGTTTGGTTATTCTAAATTCTAAACTAGTTTAAACTGGATGGGTTCTCGTAAAGTCAGGTCAAAAGAAATTCTAAACTGATTTAAACTGGATAGATTCCTATTAGGTTTGTTTATACTGAATTCTTAACTGGATAGATTCTTGTTAAGATAGGTTATACTAAATTCTAAACTGGTTTAATCTGGATAGGTTTTTGTTAGGTTAGGTTATACTAAATTCTAAACTGGTTTAAACTGATAAAGTTCTTATTAAGTTAGGTTACACGAAATTCTTAACTGGATATGTTACTGTTAAGTTAGGTTTTAATAAATTCTAAACTGGTTTAATCTGGATAGGTTCTTATTAAGTTAGGATATACTAAATGCTAAACTGATTATATCTGGATAGGTTCTTATTTAGTTAGGTTAAATTCTAAACTGGTTTTAACTGGAAAGGTTCTTGTTAAGTTAGGTTATACTAAATTCTAAACTGGTTTAAACTGTATAGGTCCTTGTTAGATTAGGTTAGGTTAAAACTGGCTTAAACTGGATAGGTTCTTTTTAAGTCTGATTATACGAAATTCTAAACTGGTTTTAGCTGGATAGGTTCCTATGTTAGATTCTTCTAAATTCAAAACTTGTTAAAACTGGATACTGGATAGGTTCCTGTTACTGAAATGTTTGATTGGATTGGAGGAACTAGTACAGGTTGATAATAATAAATTGTACACAATACTAAATATTAACCATATAAATTCATAACTAAGGCATGTATGTATTTTGGAAAATTATCAGGATAAATCCAAAGTTTTCATTGGCAGAGAATTTTCGGAGAAAACATTCTTTTTCAATATTTTCTTTAAAAACATGGAATAAATATATGCTAATTTAAATATAACATCTTAATTTGATACTTGTCACAATTTTATCAAAACTAAATTATTAAGTGATTTTTTTATGAAATTCTAAAAATTCTTATCTTATTTAACGCTTTATTTTTTACAAGGTGGCATTTTGACCCTAGCTCTAGCGTGTGGCAAGACCCCTATGGAGTGTCAGGGTCTCTACTTCCGGTTGAAGGACAAGGTGTTTGTTGGGAAGCGTCCCTACGACGTCGGTCCCCTCGAGGAGTTTCTTAAAAAGGAGTTCTCTGAAACTAGAACTATGGCGAGCCTACCTCCTAACCCTAGGTACAGGCTGACTCAATAAACGTGGGAATTAGTTCCACACGGCATTATTTCATAAACACTATTTAATTAGTTAAAACTACAAGTCTTGGGATTTCCAGAATGTGGTCTACCATTTTTGAACCTTTAAAATTTATGTAGATATTGTTAAATAACTAAAATCTTTACAGGGTTAATACCTTAGTCAATTTAATAATACAATGAAATAAGACCTCTTTCTGGAAAGTTCTTCAGGCATACAACCTTATTTATACACTCTTCATCACTTACCAATCGTGGGAAATCAAAGACGATTTTCAAGTCGTCTCTTAATTCCCATGTGTATTAGGACACCCTGTAGAAAATTATTATTGCATTTGCATCGTGTGTGGGGGGGGGGGCTTTTCCCATTCCATAGTTTTTCTATTTTATTTAGATTCTCAATTTTTCATGTTTTTCTATGTTTTTTTTATGAAAGGATTATTCGACACACAGGGGAATTTAACTCTTTCCCACCTTGGTTTGATGATTTCACTCCCCCCTCTCATAATACGACTTGTTGCGCATTTATGTTTATTAAGAAAGAATTTTGGAACTTTTTAAAATCAGGGTTGAGCGTTTATGAAAGGAGAGTGTTAGATGATATAGTTACGGCCGATTCAACCACTGGTTCTTGTTGAGCGGTGGTGCAGGGGTGGGAAATGTAGATGGACTAGCCGCGCCTAGTTAAGTCTCCTCTTCCTCAATAATAACCCTCCTCTCCCTCAGTAATAACCTTCCTCCCCCTCCCATGTAGAAAAAAAATTGTCCTAGATGTTAGCTATTTTTGCGATCTTGTTAGGGTTGTATTCTCTAAATTTTGGTATATAATCGTTTTTTTAGGGAGAAATATATAACATTTTGGGTAATAAGTATCAAAAAGGGTGAAGAAAATATTTCCGTCTGTGTAAGATATTTCATTTTTACCCCCAGATCATCAAAAATCGTTTCTCTTCGCCTTCAGGGAAATTATATAATATATTCTATACATGATTACTGAATACTAGGGTGACTGTAACGGGTGTAATGGCTGACCGCCACCCCGCTGACCTTCATCTATTCACCAACTACCAGCTACCCGCCGATATCCTGGGAGCAAGGGAAGATCTACCGCCGGAGTTATCGCCGATCAAGGAATCAGCCAAACGTTTATGATACATCTATAAATAAGCATTTACATAAGAAATAAATTTTGAAAAATCTAAGATTGGTTCACGAACTCGAAAAGAAAATGGGTCAATTGAAAGGTTGATTTTTTAATAAATTTTATCAAAGCATGTTGATATTTATATAAAAATATGTGTCTCAATCTACTCTATTTAGATTGAATGATTTGTTAACAGAACAAAAATTAAATAATTTTTTTTCTCGTTTTTTGCCATTCAGAGATATGGAAATAAATAATCTCTTTTTTCCACAATTGAGATTGAGGGTTTGAGAGCAAATATGTTTTTCTACAGTTTTGGTTGAATTTTTGCCTCCTGGATCCGGATCCGTGGATCTGCATTCCACTGGGGTTTGAATAGAATATGGGGGGGGGGCTTAGACTTATTTCCCCCAAGTTTTACTATAAACCATGGTTGATCTCAGAAACCTGATCAGCAGGAGCTGTGGAGAGCTGCTCGTTGTTCAGGAGCAGCACCAACATACTTCAGAGCAGCTGGAAGGTTGTTACACAATTTTGTTAAATAACGCTGCCATGTTTGTGTTGAATAGTTATGTCACACGTGTGAAATGTGAAATCTCATCGTGCGTTCTTAATGTGCAACCTCACAATGCGTTTTTAGTGAGCAACCTCGTTCTGTGTCTTTAATGCACGTGCAACTTCACTGTGCGTCCTATTATGCAACCTCACTGTGCGTCCTTAATGTACAACCTTAATTTTTTTATCTCACTGAGCGTCCTAAATGTGGAACATCACTATGCGTCCTAAATGTTATCTTCGCTATGAGTCCTCGTGTCAGTATTGCATCAAGTGCGTGGTGTGCCCTCTCTTGCAGCTAAAAAATGTTGATATTTGCTCCAAGCTATATGCAATGTGTGTCCTCAATGTGGGTCCTCTTTAGTGTTTCACAATAAGTACGTCCAAATAGATGCTTCCTCTTATAAAATAAAGAATGTTGATGCATATGATATTTGTATGAGTTTTTTTTTTCTGAAAACGAGAAGATTCATCCTTCAGGGTTACCCACAATAGGATTAGACTTCGGAGACAACTGCATGGGCGTGGCTCACTTCAGTACTTTTCTAGATCTTATAGACGATCTGTTACGAAAGTTTTGTTGTTTCTCTCTAAAAAAAACAGCTGAAAACTTTAGAATGTGATATCCTTAATCCCGATCTGTTAATTAATCTGGAGATTAAATTCATGAGGACAACAAGCAATATTTAATCTGGAGATTTAGAAAAAGAGTGGATTAAGCATTATTCCCGATATCCACCATTCAAAAGTTCCCAGCTCAGAAAGATAATGTTTTTAAACTTTACTTTTTAGATTTATAGACGGGGGTCTGATCAGTAACAACCCTACATTAGGAAACACAATAATTTTTTATTTTATTTTAAAAGATTTTTAAGTAGTTTGATTTGATGTCTTAATAGACATCTATTGGAGTCTTCTATAAGAATATCTTCTTTGAAATTTGAATTGCTTTCTCAAATTAATGTTTGATCGGAAAGAAAACTTTAATGACCTCCATTTTGTATCAAAATAAATGTCGACACTTGTTAATAACCTCGGATGTTTTCTTCCATTTTGTCATTTTAAATCAAATTTTTAATATTTTTCGACAAAATTAGCCCCAATTTTTTATTTAGATCTGAAATTTTTGTTCTAAAAATATCATTATTTTATTAAAAAGTAAGAGGACTGAAGTCGATAATGTATCCATGATAATAAAAAATAGAATAATCTGTACGTTTCCATCATTATTCCTTTCAAAATGTTAAAGACAGTTTCGAAAATTGAAAATCCACGAAATTTTAGTGACGAGACCATTAACTATTAGTGAAGTTGTTTTAGAAGGATCTTGTCAAAACAAAACTTGATTGTACTCATGAAAAAATGATATTCAATGAAAGTTTTGAATTTTTTTTTACAGGGTGACCTGTAAAACATGAAAATCTGAAAAACTTTGGGAATTCATAATTATTTAATTATCTTCAAAACTTTACTTTTCATGTTTTATTTATTTAGATCTTAAAAAGAAGATTCCAAAAATATCTTTAAATTTTTTCTGGCAAAAAAATTGACAATTTTATAGATTCAAAACTAAATTACAGGGCGTTCTTTTGGGTTTTTTTCCGAATTCAAAATCTTAAAAAAAAAAACTCACCCGGTCAAAATTGACCTTCTCGTCACTAATGGGTTAAAATTCAACACTAATAGAACCACAGTTTTAAAATTTAAACACAAGGTGTCTCTGCTGTGTGCTCATTGCTCAATTATAATATTAAAAGGAATTTGATTTGTATTTTCTCAATTCCAAATGAAATAATCCAATAAAATTAATTAAGCGATATATTTAAAAGGGATTATCAATGGAAAAAAATATTTAAAGTTTTTGTCACTCTTCTTTTCTTTTGTAGATTGAATTTATAATTCATTTGCATTATTTCACATACCGACATATTGTAGTCTGCATTTTTTGCATGTTGTTGCATTTTCTTCTTTGTAAGGCTGTTTTTGGCCAAAATATTTTAAATATTTGTGAAAACATATTTTAAAATTACATTTTGAATATGGCAACATAAGGATCTGATAATTAAACTATTATTGTTCTCAAGATCTGATGACTGAGGTCCATGAGAGGAACTGTGCTCTAAGAGCAGTTGGAAGGGAGCAAGAAACTGAGAGGATTAGTTTAGTAGTTTCCATGGGAACCGGAGAACCACCTCTAGGTGAGCGATGAGGAAAGGGAGAGGCGGTATCGGGTGAGGGAGGGAAGGCAGCCTCCCCCGCACAGCTTCCAAATTTCATATTACCTAATTGCGGCAGTGCGCATCCCCAGAGGGCTTCCGAACCTCCCCCCCCCAACAGTCTTTAGGGAATGATCTTTCATTTATAATCGTCAATTTCTACTTAAAACGAGACTAATTCGATTTTTTACATTTTTTTCCATCTATAGTATCCTTAACATTTGCATAATATTTTTTCTCTTTTAAAATCAAAAATCGGGGAAAAAATAGCTTTTTAAAGATTTTGTTCTTAACAAATCTTGGAATGGCTGGGGCGTTTGTTAGGAGTAGCTTTAACTAATAAGTAGACAAACAAAAAATATTGTTTATAAAATGTAGATTCTAAAATTAGCATTGCAGTTGGTAAATTTTCTCTTTAGTTATTGAGATATTTGAAGAAAACAAAACTCGGTTTTAATCCAATGATTTTATAACTATTGGGGCCTTTATTTTTAACAAATACTGCAGATTTGAAATACTTTTTGATCGATAATAACATTTTCTTTAATTTGAGCGTTGCTGAAATTGCCTTTTATCGTTGTTTAACTAGGGGAGGGTTTTCTACCTGGGATACAAATCCAGATCCTTAGAAAATACTGTGTACTCAGACCAAAAAGTTTTATTTTTTCGGTGTTTCGGTAAAAACTGCCGTTTGGAACCGGATTCATGGAGCCAAAATGCTGCGGATCCAATGCATTTTTATTTTAATGTAGTTAAACTGAAATATATCTTGGGACCCTTTTATCCGTGTGTACCAAAGCTTGAGATTTAATTCGAGTTATAAATATGAAAAGAGGACGTTTTTGAAAGTCTGATTTGATTTAAAAGAAATAATAAATTTGTTTTTGTAGAAAAAGTTGATACTATTGACGTATTCCGTCCAGACAGCATAATGACTGTTCCTCAGTTATTGTATGGAGCTTCTAATATGGGCAGATTACTTATTGATCAGGTACTTCATCAAGGATATACTATATACTATATATTGACGTATTCCGTCCAGACAGCATAATGACTGTTCCTCAACTACTGTATGGAGCTTCTAATATGGGCAGATTACTTATTGATCAGGTACTTCAGCCAGGGATATACTAGAGGTATATACTAGAGATACGCATAGGTACTTGATTGAAAGTATTTCACAATGTTTACATGTAAACATTTTTTCTGTTGTACTTCATCCAGAATATACTATATACTATATATTAAAAACCTTTTTTCTGTTGTACTTCATCCAGGATATACGATATACTATATATTAAAAACCTTTTTTCTGTTGTACTTCATCCAGGATATACTGTATACTATATATTAAAAACCTTTTTTCTGTTGTAAAATCCCCCCCCCCCCCCCTGCTGTCGAAAAATGGGAGAAAGGGGAAACGTGTCCCTCAAATATTTGAATTATATACACCTTTAAACGTTGGCTTAATAAGCAAGCCATAGTTTTCTAACGAATTTCAAAATCAAATCAGTAAGTTGAACTATCCATATCTAGTTCAACTACTTCTCTCCCCAACTCAGCAACCATTTTTTTCAATTAATTAAATAATTATCTTTAAATAAATTTGATTAAGGCCTGCTCTGCGTCTAACCGTGTGGTAGACCGTGCTAAAGCTTGGTGTGGTATGGCGGATATATCTTATATCAGGTTAGTTGTGGTACACAGGGTAGGGATCACATAGGGTATGTGGTACAGTCAAACGGTCAGGTAGGACAGGGGTCTAATATACTGATAGGGTATGGTAGGGGGTAAAGCCCAACGGTAGGCTAGGACAGAAGGTCTAATATACTGATAGGGTATGGTAGGGGATAAAGCCCAACGGTAGGGTAGGACAGAGGGTCTAATATACAAATAGGGTATGGTAGGGGGTAAAGCCCAACGGTAGGGTAGGACAGAGGGTCTAATATACTGATAGGGTATGGTAGGGGGTAAAGCCCAACGTTAGGGTAACGTCAGGGAACATTTTAAAGATGAAATAGTAAAATGGTTACAATTCTAGTAGAAAGATTGAANAAGCCCAACGTTAGGTTAAGATAGGGGGTCCAGTACAGTGAAAGGTTAGAATCAGGTACACTGATTGGGTACTGAAAAATCTCTTAAAATATTCACTCAGCCACTAAATTAATAAATTTGAGCAAGCTGAACTACGTTCTACCGGTTCAAACTTAAATCATCGATTCAAAGTTACAGATTCAGAAGGATTTGAACCGGCGATAGATAGTTCAGCGACCTCTCCAATTCATTAAATTCGGTCTCAGGGAACATTTTAAAGATGAAATAGTAAAATGGTTACAATTCTAGTAGAAAGATTGAATAAAGACGTCAATAATTCAATTGTTTTTTTTTGATTACCTTTGTGTATATGAAGGTTGAGCCCTCAGCTTGATTGTGATGTTAAGTTGGATGAAACAAGTGATGAAGTTCTAGTCAATATGATTTATTTAACTCAGGTAACTAAATCTTATTAGAAAGAAAAAGAAAAAAGGGCATTTTAGGGCCTCTTTTTTTCAAATGGGATTTTAGTGTCTCTTTTTTTCAAATAGGATTTTAGGGCCCCTTTTTTTAGTAAAACCTTTAGCTTTTGAATATATAGTTTATTGGGTACCAAACCAAATATATATGAATATTTTCTATATTTTATTTATATATAATTAATAACACTGGGGAACAAAATAAATTTTTTTTTATGGTGCCTAGAATATTTCAACTGATTATATTACCTCTTTGGTCACTGATAACTAAAATAATCGCCGTTTTGCTCAATCAGGTCAGATTTTTTTGCAATTTTGATTTTAGCTTTATATATTTTGTCGTTCTGAGAGCGATTTATCAACATTAGAAATTGTCCATAACTCAGCCTGTGTATAAAATATAAAAAAAATAAGGGCACTTTTATTTCTTCAACTTTAAAAGTTGAAGAAATAAAAGTGGTCTTATTTTTTTCTTTTTTGCCCACAGGCACAGATATAATGTTTTTTTTGCTTTTAAATATAGACGTAGGTGGCTGACAAGTCTGTATCGTTGTAGCATCTCCAATACCTGCATTTTCATAGTTTGTAATATGCTAAAGAAATAAATGAACATGTACTTCAAATTTTTATTGAAAAAATGAAACATCAGCTGAAAATCTAAACATTAGGGGCAAAGCTTTTCTTCAGGGCTTTCCTTCTATGCTGCATGTTTGGGTGGTCCCGTTTTATGCTCCAGCAGTAGTCTGCCATCATGTTGTTGTCCCACCTACCCTGGTACCTCTCCTCCATATCTCTGATATCTTGGTGGAACCTTTCACCCTGTTCGTCACTGACACTTCCAAGGTTTTCAGGAAATTTGTCTAAGTGGCTGAATAGGAAGTGAACCTTGATGCTCATATATGCTTCTAACTGCTTGTAGCTCTCCAGCATGCTATCCACCAGCTCCACATAGTTCTCAGCCTTGTCATTNAAAATAACAGAAAATAGTAATATCTCAGGCTGTAGGCTAAAAATCTTAAAAATAAGGCCACATTCATTTCTTCAACTTTAAAACTTTGAGAAAATAAAGTGCCTTTGATTTTTTTTAATTTTGCCTGTGGGCTGAGTTATGGCCAATTTCTCTCTTAAACGAATACCCGTTCGATAAGCCAAAACTTACAAGACAATAAATCAAAATTGCTGAAAATTCTGACCTGATTGAGAAAAGGTATTTATCATATAGTTATCGTGACCCTAAAGGTAACAGAATCCGTTGAAATATCTCTGGCACCAAAATCTTTGTTGTTATATATTTTTGATTCAGTAAAGTCATGTCGAATTTGAAGTATGATTTAATTTGATCTGAGCCCGCGATTTAAAAAATTCGGGGAAATACGGTTTGGGTCTAAGCTGTCGTTGGACCTTATTTACGACTTGAGCTTTCGGATTAAAGCTGCATCTTATTTTCCACAGAGTTGAATTCAAAAAACCGGTTTAATATTCTATTTAGCGGATTTTCATGGTAGGAATTGGTCGGTTTTACTTTCATTGGACTTAACTCCTTAAGTCGAGCCGAATATCTTGCAGCTGTCAATCACGTGACTCAAGCTGTCGTTAGAGTTGGGTCGAAGATTTGGTCTTAAAGTTGGGTTTAAGGAATTACGACTCGAGCCGAAGCTTTTAAATCGCGGGCTCAGATCATTTTATTTCATTTCCTTTGAAAATGGTGTCGTAACATATCATGATAAATGGTTTATTCTTAATTCTTATATATAAAAGTTCTTATGAAATCGGAACTTTTCATGCATGCTCCAACAGGACATTAACATTTGTCCATTTTTCTTTAGTGAAACTTATTCAGATCCAAGGTTGTATAATAAGGTTGGTTACTCTTGATGAGCTTTAATGCACGGGAAATGTTGTCTCCTAAGTATAGATAGATAAAATCCTCTTATGGCGTCACGTCACTTGGATCTCTATAATCAGTGATGTTAAAAGAGGATTTTACCAATCCATGTTTAGAAGACAACATTTCCCGTACACTGGAGCGCATCGAGAGTAAGCAACCTTGTGTTACTACCTTGCTTAGATCAGACATGTTTACAATGCATTCATTTGCAATTAAATATAAGTTTGTTCGGAGAACTGTGTTTTACATTCGAAAGAAATCTAGTGCAGAACAGGCTTAGAACTTTACAATAGTCTTGCCTGAAAAAAAAAAAACACATTTAAATGTTATAGTTACATGCGACATGCGTGTTGCGTATCTTATGGCGGGTTAAAAAAATCTTCTTTTTGTACAATAGCAATATTCCAATTGAAAGAATTATCATAATCATAAAAGGGTCCAAATTTAATAAATTGAATGAATTTTAGCTACGTCGTTAAACCACCGGTTCAAACCGGTGTGGCAATAGGTAATTTAGATTCATTAAATTTGGCCCAGGGCATAACAACCATTACATTTTGAAGCTTTTCGTTGGAAACATTTTCCTTGTGATGCGCTGATTTATTTTTTGAATATTTGTGTTCACAGAGATTTTTTTGTTAAGGTTTATATGCATGAAGAACGAAGCAAAATAGAAATTCTGGTGAACCAACTTCTGAATAGATAGAGGAATAAAATAATTTTTAAAAAACATTAACAATTCACAAGGTACCCTGTACAACATTATCTAAGTAACGATGGCAGAGAATTTCTAATTTTGTTTACTTAAAAGGGGCTAGACTTTGTTTGTTTGCTGGGCTGATAATGAATTTGAAAAATTCACGATTCAAAAAAATTCTCCGTCAAAGTTTTAAAGCGTACCGTTGTGAATTGTTGATGGAACTCTAGAAGAATGATAATGTAAAACAATATGCGAGAAAATGGTAGAATACAAATTATTAGTTATAAATGTATCAAGTTCTTCACATTACACCATGTTGGATACTACAATGTGTTCCCCTAAACAAGTTTATCTCTTGATGAAATGAGACTGAAATGTCGTCTTCAGATTATCATGTTTGGATCTGATATAATATTTAAATAATATAAATTCTTAGCATTATTTCAAATCTAATTTAAAAGCAAAGACAACTGTATCATGCCGCTGTGCGTACGAATTTTCTTTCCATCAAATATTAATTTAGTGGCCAAACTATCGTCCCACAACGTTCGTCTTTCGGACGGGCTCAGAGCTGAAAACTTTAGAATGGGATATCCTTAATCCCGGTCGGTTAATTAATCTGGAGATTAATAACAAGAGGAGAACAAGCATTATTTAATCTTGAGATTAAGAAAAAGAGTGGATCAAACCTTAATCCCGATATTCGCCATTCTAAAGTTCCCAGCTCTGTTCATACGTTATTTGGGAAAGGTGCCTTGCAATGGACAATCCAATTTTATTCTGCTCGTCTTGTAAATTCTGAACTCTTTGCACATAAACATACTTTTATGATATTTTAGTGATTGTTTTATTATTATTATTATTATTTACATATAATCCATTAAACAGGGTGCCCCAAAAATCATCGGAAATCAGTTGCGACTTTTCAAATCGTCTTGCATCATAATATTTTTTGAAATTGCGGTTTGAATCTCATTTTATTGTCATCACATCGAAAACTTCTGCTCTGAGATTTCCAAAATGTGATTTGCTCTTTTTGTACTTAAAAAATCGACGAAATAAATTTGTTTTGTGAAAATGTTTCAATGTCAAATATCATTGTCAATTTTCAAGAGACAAATTTTGCAAAGCAAAAGACGAACTCTTTTAAGGCACTAAAAAAATGCGATTTTAAAGTTGTCTTGAATTCCTATGCTTATTGAGACACCCTTTATATAAAATAAATTTTTAAATACCTTTATACGGTCTTTAAATGTAACCAAAATTGCCTTAAGCTAAATTTTGGCAGACTTTTAATGCTTTATATGCTCTTGGACCATATATCTCTGATCTTGATATTTTCTTATTAAAACATCAATTATTTATATTTTATTAAATATAGTGCACTGCACTGCATTTACATGACCATTTAAATTGAGTGCCATGTCCGATTTATACAGGACCCGTTCAACCTTTATCTGAGGAATAATCTTAAAAGTCCCATGTATTGGAGAAACAATAATTGTACATAACCAATTTTTAGATTTAAAAAATGATGATATCTCATTCTTTCTTGAGTTTTTTGGCTGTTTTGAATCGGGTATGCCACTCTACAAATGGAGATTGACTTGAAATTACTTTAATAGTTTGTTTAATATTGCATTTAGTCGTTATATCGGCATTATATATAATATATACTAACAATCCGTTAATTAAACCTTCATGATAGATTCATTAAAAAAATATTAGAAAATTTGTACCTTTGTGATTTATTATCAAATATATGATTATACACTTCTTCAAATATTTGTTTCCTGGCTGGAATGCCCGGCGTTGTCCGTTGGGGCAAAATTGGATTTTAGCCTATGCTACCCCAAGGTACCCATTGGTTCCCTCGACAAATTTTAGCCAATTCGATCCTGCCGTTTGGCCAGCTATCTAACATATATACATAATGGATAGTAAGCTTCTAAGTTGGCATCTATGAAATGAACTTTAAATTTACTTTAATTTTACGTGTTTAAACTTTTAATATGTAAGTATAAAACCCAACCTTCATTTTCAATTTAAATCGTATCAAATATTTCAATTCAACTCTTCAATAGCTAAAAAAAAAAATCTACAAAAAAAATGTCAAAGCTTCAAAATAATTCTTAGAATTTTGTATCTAAAAATATAAAGTGGTGATCTCTGCCTGTCTGTCTGTTGGGATGCCCGTTTATAACTTCTGAACCCCAGTACCGATTTATCTCAAATGTTGACTGGGAAACATTGTATATTGCCGGAAATGTCTTAGCCTGGTTAAAAATTCAAAGTTGAATGTGTTGACATTAATATGAAAAACACCAAGCAAAGCCGGGCTTTTAGTGCATAGGATCCGAAAGAGTTTGGCTTCCTAGATCCGGATCCGCAAAAATATGCGGATCCAAGGGGTAAAATATCAACCAAAAACTATGAATCAGGTTCGCCCCTCCCTCCTAGTTGCGCCACTAAATACTTGGTACGACGTTGTGACCGTGTAGCTCATCTAGTTTTGATGTACGCAGAAGTATTAGAAAAATAAATTTATTTGGATACTTTTTACTTCTTAGAATTAAAACACATTTTTGTTCTTGTGAAATTTACTTAATTTGGACGTGTTTTACATGGCACCTTACTAAAAGTATAATTTTCGAATTTTAAGGAACAAATCTTAGCAAATATTACAAATCAACTTTTATTTTTAAACAAGAAAGTATTTACAGCTTGTTAATTACATCACGAAATCTAGTCTTTACACGGGTCAAGTATACATTTGTCCAATTCAAAACAATAGGGGAAATCCCAGACAAACAAATTCATTTCTCAGACTCGACCCTTTTAAGCACTGTCTGATTGTTTAAATGATTCTTAGAGTTTTTTAGGACATATTATGTCTGTGCTCTTCACAAAACAAGACTTCAATTTTCCTTTTTCTTTGAACTATTCTTTCTTAAGTTCAGTATAATATTAGTTTAATGTAAAACATGAAAGTTTTCGTAATTTAAGGGACTGTCAACAGACAAGATAATACCAGATATACAGACAAGATAATACCAGATATACAGACAAGATAATACCAGATATACAGACAAGATAAATACTAGATATACAGACAAGATAATACCAGATATACAGACAAGATAATACCAGATATACAGACAAGATAAATACCAGATATACAGACAAGATAAATACCAGATATACAGACAAGATAAATACCAGATATACAGACAAGATAAATACCAGATATACAGACAAGACATATACCAGATATACGGACAAGAAAATTACCAGATATACAGACAAGACAAATACCAGGTAAACAGACAAGATGAATACCAGATATACATACGAGATAAATACCAGATATACAGACAAGACAAATACCAGATATACAGACCAGATACACAGACAAGATAAATACCAGATATACAGACAAGATAAATACCAGATATACAGACAAGATAAATGCCAGATATACAGATAAGATAAATACCAGATATACAGACAAGACAAATACCAGATATACAGACAGACCAGATACAAATGAAAAAAATGCTCATATTTTACGTAAAAACAGATCTCAACATTTAGGTAGAATTTCTTTAAAGAGTTTGGGGGCGGAAATATATTAAATAAATGTTCTAAAATCTCAACGTAACCTCCTTCCAACATTTTTACATTTAAATTCCAGAAAAAGGGGGAATCTTGAATCTTGATTCACTTAGCATCAATATATTGATAAGGAACCTCTGGGACTGGGAGGTGGGGGGCGAGGTAAATTGGGAGGAAATTACGAGTGAGAGAGGGAGGAAAGTTAGAGTGAGGGGAAAGGTAGGGATAAAGGAAGGAAAAGTGCATGGGAGGAAGGTAAAGAGGGAGGGAGGGAAGGTAGAGTGGGAGGAAGATATTGTGTGGTAGAAAAGGGAATGTAGAGTGGGAAGGAAGGTTGTTTGGGAGTGAAAGTAGAGTGGGAGGGAAGGTAGAAAGGGAGGGAAGGTAGAAAGGGAGGGAAGGTAGAGAGGTAGGGAAGGTAGTTTAGGAGTGAAAGTAGAGTGGGAGGGAAGGTAGAGTGGGCACATAGATTCAGCCTCCTTATAAACAGTCTCATCAATTTTTAAGACTGGGTTGACTTTGAAGTGTCACAACGCCCTAAGCTTAGATTTTTCCGCTCTAACTCACTTATGCTTTTCTGTAGCCCTTTACATGTACATTTTAGCACTGTAAAGCACTTCTTGTTAGATTTGGTTTTTTAGAAGTAATTGGCAAAATTCTCAACGATTTTTGCTTGAGAGCGTGAGACCATTAAATCGCAGTGGGGAGGGAAGGTAGAGAGGGAGGAAAGGTAGAGAGGGAGGGAAGGTAGAGAGTGAGGGGAAGGTAGAGAGGGAGGGAAGGTAGAGAGGGAGGTAAGGTAGTTTAGGAGTGAAAGTAGAGTGGGAGGGAAGGTAGAGTGGGAGGGAAGGTAGAGAGGGAGGAAAGGTAAAAGTGGTAGGGAAGGAGGAAAGGGAGGAAAGGAAAATTGGTAGGAATATATATATATTATCGAAATATTTGGGTTTGAAACGTCTTAAATCTGCGCGGCATTTAAATGTTCGATAGAGAGGGAGGAAAGGTAGAGTGGGAGGAAAGGTAGAGTGGGAGGGAAGGTAAGAGTGGTAGGGAAGGTAGAAAGGGAGGAAAGGAAAATTGGTAGGAATATATATATATTATCGAAATATTTGGGTTTGAAACGTCTTAAATCTGCGCGGCATTTAAATGTTCGTCAATTATGGCAGTTATACACTTTTGAAAGGATTACCAGCGACATTTTGTAATCTTGAATTTGCCAAAATATGATTTTAATTATTTGATTAGAATAATACTTCAAGAGTCAAGGATGCAAGATTATAAATTTTATCATACCAAAACTAAATGGTTGAAGATGAATGAATCAACACTTAGTTGTATAAAGATCCCTTTTTCTTTGAACGATGTCAGCTCTTTAATCAGTATTTCTTCATATACATTATTAAAAAATAA